TTTCATGCTCTTTCACAGAAGGAAACTGAGAGATTGAGACTGATTGTAAGAGGAGGTAATATACGGAAACAGGAAATCTACTGGGTCTGATTTTTCACCTCAGCTGGGCTGAAAGAAGAATCTAGGGCCGTCACAGATGGAAGTGATCATATGTCACTTGTGCTGAATAAGAATGGGAAGATACTAACCTCACTGGAGCATATTGCTAGAGTTTATCTGTCACTTACAACTAATTAACTAAAATACAAATTAGCTGCCTTTATGGTCAGGCTCTTCTGTGCACAATTTTTAGTATCACAAACATCCTAGGAAAAATTGAAGCTTTAGATCTTACAAAGAATTGAGGTCAACAAGGAGCTTATATGTGTGGATACTTGCTGTTGCATCTGGACACAAAGACACTCCTTTAATTCATAGGTGAGAAAGGCAAATTATCTCCTTTCAGAATATCTCCAGATGTTATCACAGGATGATGGCACTGGCTTGTCCTGCTCAGGTTTCCCAGGGGAAGGTCTGCAGCACAATGTGATATACTTACAGACTCTGAAGAATGATCAACAAAGAGGCAATACGTTCTCCAAAGGCTCTTGTTCCTCATTAAAGCAGTTTCCAAATTCAGGTTTATCAGGAGAAGCACTCTCACAGGACCCAAATGCAGCATACTTTTGGACCCTCTACAATTCTGCTCTTGTTCCTCAGGAAAGGCAAATGCTTTTTTTGTTCACTGTATGTTTAATATGACTTTAATTTGTGCTGTTCCATAGAATGCATTTCATTTCCATTAAAGGGCAAGATGACACACCATCCTATCTCTATTTCTGTAGTATCTCTAAAGTGTATTGAAAATTCATAGATTTGGAAAATATGATCTATGTATCTATTTAGCACAGTACACAGTATCTTTAAATCTCCCAAGAGAAAATTTGACAGTGAATTTTTATTACCATTCTGATATAAATAAAGACTTTAAAGTGTGAAGTTTTACGGCACTATTTTTGATTAGTGTTAACTAAAATAGTTTTTAAAAACCCAAAACCAAACTGGCATTTTAACTAGAAAGAGAACTTTTAATATGAGCATGCTTTTCAAACAAGCCATTTCTAATTCTCTACAATTTCTCTATGAACCAATAATATTTATTTAATACGTTGCCTTCTTTACTATAATAGAGCTACTCTGACTTATAAATCTACCAGATTATCTGAAATTGACAGTGTATGGAAAATCCACCTCTGGTCCAGATTTAGAATATAAGTGCCATTAGGTCTGTAAAACTAAATGCAAAGTCTGATACAATGATTTATTATACATACATGACTTACAAGTGAAGTGTCACAAAGACACTGAATTTTATATTAAAAAGTATACAAAAAATTGACAAAAGTTGCACAAAAATGTGTACTGTGTATTTAATAGAAAATCTTGTGCATGGATAAAAACAGTTCAGGGATTGCTTAAAGACCAAAAATTCAGTTTAGAAGACCTTCTTTTATTACTTAAAAGTAATTTCTTCTTTTGCTACTGTAAAACAGAGACTCAACATGATTTACAGAAATGGTGTCTGAGGCTAATCTTCAACAGCTTTCTGAAAGTATTGAAATTTCACTTCAGCCCTGCACAAAGTCAGAAAGAAAAAATTAATATCGCAAGAAGAAAATTGGTGAAAGCAGACCTTTGTAACAACTTTCAAATTATGCTCATTTCCTTACATATGCTTGTGTAGCCCTAGAATTCATCCTGTATTTATTGTGCCACAATTTCAGATTGCGTTTTGGTGTAGAAAGAGTTAGTCAACTTTAAGGAGAAGGAAATTATTTAAGTATTTTTCAAAAGTCTGGTTAGAGCTTTGCAATTCAGCATAGAGAAGCTCAGCTGGCATGAAGTTAGTAGCAGCATAGGGAAGCTTGGTAATGTAAAGAAAATAATTCTAACTACAAGTAAAAATAAAAGACAGAATCCAGCCTACAGGAAAAAAATTACAAAACAGAATAAAGAGACAATCTTGGATTACATTGTTCTTTTCCCATTAACCATTTCTTTTGGTGGTACCTGAATAGAAACACATTGAATTGAATGAAATTCCCAGTTCCTTTTTTTCCCACCATTTTTCTTCCTTCTTCTCTCAGAGGTTTTGTTACCAAATCTAAGGATTGTACTCCATTTAGCCTGAGTATTTTTGTTCAGTTGTATTATATCTCTTTTCTGTTTTTCTTTGCAGAAGACCTAACACAGCTGGACAAAATGCAATAAAGGATGTGCATCCTACAGAATACAATGAAGTATTAGAAAACACTACAAATAAACAGAGAAAATGGGATAATCAAATTCACTAAAAAATATTTCAAATTCTTCATCAATTTCATGAAGATTTAGTGTGTGAGAACCACAGAAAAACACCCCCAACACTAATAGACATTCTAGATGTATATTGAATGTTTCGGTGTAACAGTGAATATATCTATGAATGCTCTAACAAATCAGTACATATAATATGTCATCTTTATCTTCATTTACAACTATCAGGAAGATAGGGCATTTAAAATGGGTTGATCAAGAAGAAGAATATACACTTCTTTTAAAATCTTTTATTTAATTTCATTGTACACTCACTCATGTACACACACATCCTTTGTGTGGTTAATATATTTACATAACTGAGAATCCTTGTATATGTGTATGATCTGACACATATATCATACACATACAATATTAGATTGTATAAAATAGTACAGAATAATCTGTATAAATGCAGGTGATTTTAAAAATAAGTGTCTGGCCTAATACTATATGTAGGACAGGAACACACCTTGTTACCATTTAAACCTTTCTCCTGTAAATATTTCCATTTAGCAAGTTTCTACATTTTTATAAACACAGTCATTCAAAACCTCAATGCAATTTTTTAGTACATTCTTTGGGGTAAAAATTGTCTTCTTGGCTTAGTGACATTATAAATGCTAGCACTTCATGCTAGGAAACTGTGGAGGACTAACTAGGTTGAAGACTTTCTACATCTTCGTTAATCACTGTTACAATATATGCAACAGGAAAATTAACTTCACCTGTGAAAATTTGCCAAGAAGTCACAAAATCCCTGCGTGTATTTAAAACAGCCTTTTAAAAAGAAGATAAGCCTACTCACTGTTTTGCACAGCTCCCCTTTCTAAGTACACATGCATGAGGATGGGTATGACAGACGGCAGAGGATGAGAAAACCAAGAGTCTGCACTATGCCTACACTTATCATGGTATCCAAAGTATCAACAGAGCATTCTGAATGAAAGACAAAAACTGTCATATTCTAAGCCATATCAATTATTCAGCAAGTGAAAGAAATACAGTGCATTTTGGAGCATCTCTCTACACCCTTCTTGGAAGTCACAAGGAGCCCACAGGGAAAGTGCTCAAAGGCTGGAGTATGGTGGCTGTTTATCCGTCAATGCTGAGGATTATAATATTGTTATTATTAGTTGTAGTAATTCTAATTTTGTCTTATCTACCTAAAGGTTACACAAACAAACCTCCCCCTCAGTTTAAATTCCCATTTATGGCATAACATTTTCTATATCAGGATCCGCATCTGCGCAAGGCTTGTTTCAGATTCTCGCACAATCTTGCCACCGAATTGCAATTACACCTCTCGCTCTTCGCTGCCTTCGCCTGCTTCCGAAAGACGATAGTCACTTATTCTGTTTACATCGCAGTATCTATCCTTCGAAAGGACACGACAATGCACTTTTAGCCGAGCAGTACAAAACCCGGTCCATGCAGCTCGGCATCGGCCCCGGGAAGGCTGAGCGGGACAGAGGTGGAGGAGGCAGGGGCCGAGCAGGGGCACGGAGCGGGGACCGCAGCCGGGGCCGCCGCCTCTCGCCGCGGGGGCTGCGCGGCCCCGGCCCCGGCGCGGCCCGGGAGAGGAGCGCACGCACCGAGCCACCGTGCCCCGGGCACCACGCTCCGCTCATTCGGGGGGCGGTAAGTTTGTGCGTCCTTCCCGCAGCTGTTTCACTCCGAAGGAGCGAGGGGTGGTTTTGGAGAAAGGAAAGCGGAGGAGTGGGGGCGTGATGGATCCCCCTCAAAAACTCTCCCGGTCCGCAGGATGAGCGCTGACAAGCGAGATCTGGCAAGTTCCTCTCTCCCTCGGGTTTCACTTTTTTTTTCCCTCCCCCTCCTATTTAAATTGTCTCATTGTTAGAGGATTACACGCGCTTCAGGTTACACCCAGAGAGGGCAGGGGGGAAGCAGCCGCTCCCTTCCCCTCCCCACATAATATCTATATTGCCATTAACCTGCTCTTCATATTTGGGGCCAACCAGAAACGCGGGGCGGAAAACACGAACGCAACAGAGGGAAGGGATCCCAAGTGATGTCAGCCCCGAGGAACTTGGCTGTTGTGGCAGGGCTCTCTCGGGGAACCATCCCGCAGCTTCTGCCGAACTTTCCCTTTCGGTAGCATCGACTCAGGTGCGCGCTCAGCCCGGCCACGGGCGGGCACCGCGTGGGGGCAGCTCGGGGACCCGCCGGCGGCTGCTCGGCTTCGGGCAGAGGCCGGACCCTGGCCGGGACCCCTCTCTCTCGGTACTCCGGCGACTGCGACACGGGGAGACCACACGGAACCCTGGAGGAGGGAGGCACGGGCGTCCCCTCGCTCGCAGGACGATCCAGGCAGCCGCCTCCAGGTGTGCGGGACAGCGCCGGGAGCCACCCGGGCTCGGCGCCCCGTCCGCGGCTCAGCCGCTCCGTCCCGGCGCTGCGCCCCGCGCGCAGCCCGCAGCTCCCCGGCACCGGCAGACACCCGACACCGCCGCGCGCTCATTGGCCAGCGCCGCCGGCCCCGCCCCCCTGGCCGCGGCCACTCAGGGGGCGGCTCGGCCCGCCGGCCGCCGATAGCTGCTGCTGATTGGTCAAGAGGCGCTGTCAGTCACGTTGAGGGACGGGCCGCTCCTCGGCCGAGGCCCCGCCCCCTTGCCCTCATTGATATTATCGGCGCGCGGCGCGGGCGGCCGGGCTGCAGTCGGGGCTGGCGGGCGGCCGGCCCGGTGCGGGAGCCGGGCAGCGGCGCGGAGGCGGAGGAGAAGGAGGCGAAAGAGAAAGGCAGCCTGGAGGGAGGGAGCGCCGAGCCACAGACTAGCACAGCAAATTCTCCACCGTCCTCTAGCACCCACCAAGCGGCGGCAGTGGCAGTATCTAGGAATAGAGAGCTAGAAATATAAAATCACCCCGCTCCTGCACCATGGCTTTCCAAAGTAGGCTCCCTTCTTGGATTATTTTGTGCTCCGTCTGGCTGTTCCGCTTTGCACACACGGGGGAGGCACAGGCTGCAAAAGAAGGTAAGGTGATGCGGAAAACAAAAAGTTTGAGCTTATTTATTGCTTTTGCCCACGAAGTCTGTTTGGTGCCTTAGTAGGGGACCTTCCTGCCCCTGCCAGCTGCTTATCAGCCCCCCTCTCAGGAAAAAAAAAAAAAAAAAAAAAAATTAAAAAGACTTTTTAGTTGGGATCAGAGGGAGGAAAAAGCAGGGTATTCACTGTACGTGTGTATGTATGAGGGACCGGGACAACTGCCTTTGCTCCCAGGAATGAGGTTTGCGAGGCATTCGCACGTGATGAGTAGGAATGGGGCTGGGAGAGCCCCCGGCCCGGGTATCCGTGCCGGGGGGCGTCGCTCTCCCGTGCCAGCCCTGATCCTTCCGAGGAGGTGCAGGGAGGGCGGGTTACCTCGCTGCTCTCTGGGCAGGGGCTGAGGGCCGAGTTTTAGGGCTCGGGACGCTTGGTGGGAGGCAAGGCACAGCGCTTGGCTGGGGCTGCGGGGCGCTCCCCACCGGGGGCCTGCAGCGCTCCGGCCCAGCGGGGCTGGGCACAGACCGCGGGAAGGAGCATCGGGATGCAGTTTCGCACGTCCCAGCCGTGCAGGCTGGACATGTATTTAGAGGATACATACGGCCCGGCGTCGTGTGCCTGTAATGTGTGTGCTGTCCCCTGGTATCGCTGGAGAGAGGTTTAGGGGTTTTACACCATCTGCGTAGCACAGCGGAGCTTCCCCGTTCTCATCAGTCCAATACTGGTATCTGTGTAAGGCGCACCCCGCACATTTGTTTCCCCCGCGCACAGAGATAAATCAGGCAGTTTTGTAATCAGAGACTGATGGAGGTGTTTAAAATCAATTCACAAAGCCCATCTGGGAACCTCTTTTTTCACGCTGAGAAAATCCGAAATGATTTAAAGGAGTGCCCTGTTTGGGCTTGACAGCCGAAGGCGAAGGTCCGTCTCCATTTTCGGAGGGGGGGGGGGGGGAACTAAGACACACACGACATGACATGGGAAGGGGGAGGCAGGGCATTTTCGGTGCCTCTGCATATGTATGCGTTTGGGGTTCCCCCCTCTCCTCAGATGGATGCGTCATTATTTTTCATCAAACCTCTGGCATGCAATAAAATATCATTTGGAGCTTTAAAAAATGCCTCAATTAAAATGTACTCTCCCCTTAAAAGACGAAGTCGATGGCGAGATTAGAGAGGGGAAGAAGAAGGAGCCTTTCCGCAGCAGCATTTCGAAAGTTTATTTGGAGGGGCTGTAAAGCACAGGAACCCTCCCGCGGGGAGCACTAACCCGTAGCCGTGGGGTGGGGAGAGGAGAAGGGCCGGGCAGTCGGACGGGGAGGGTGCGGACTGCCTGCCCCGCTCTGTCCTACGGATTGCTCCGTGATCGGAGCTACGCCGATGCTTCCCAGTAGTAGCCTCTCCCGATTTTTTCTGTGTTATACGTGGGTGGTTATACATGCATCTATACCTATGAGTGTGCGTGTATAATGTCTGTATATTCGGGGGAAATCACCTAGCCAAAGGAGGGTCAGGAGGGGGCGAGCGGCAGACAGGGATTGATAGCGGCTACCTGCTGCAAGCGCAGAAAACTCTGGCGGAAGAGCGAGTTAAAAAAAAAAAAACACCAACAAAAAAGTAACTTTACGGCTTCACCGCCGGCCCCGCCGAAGGGCCGGTGGCGGCAGCAGCCCCGCGTGGTTTCCTACCCCTCCCCGCTGGGTACGGAAAAGGGATGGGAGGGATAAAAGGCTGAAAAGTTTTCCGAGTTTTTCTTTCCGTAGCTCAGTAGAAGCCGCAGTGAGATGTTGGAGAGGAACGGGCCAGGGTCTCTCTGTCTCTCTAAGCCAGAAAGCGACCGCGTAACCTGCGGAGCCCTCTGCCAGCGGCCAGCACCCTCGGGTTCAGCGCAGACACGGGGAGCGGACTATCCTTCTCTCCGTGGCTGCGAGAGCTCGGGGCTCCGTTCTGGGGCCGCTGTCCCGGGCGCTTCCTCCCGACACCGCGGCTGTCGGGGGTGTGGCGGGAGCGGCCGCGGGACCGGCGCTCCGCCGCAGCTCGGCCGCCAAGCCCCGCTCTTTGGCGCGGGGGCGCGTCCGCCTGCGCGCAGCTCCGCGCAGTGCCCGGAGCGCGACCGCGGCTCCCTGCGGAGGCGAGAGGCCACTGCTCCCGTCCTGCGCGGAGCCCCGCGGAGCCCATTCCCCGCGGCCGCGCCCCCGCGCTTCGCCCGCCGCCTCTCGCCTCCCCGCCTCCTTTCGCGCTCCGCCGCTCCCTCGCGGAGGGGCCGCGCTGGAGCCCCGGTGCGCTCCCGGCGCGGGAGGCTGCGGACCCCCTGCGGCTGCCGGCGGGGGCGCGGGGCGCGGCGCCGTTCCCCCGCATCACTTCCCCGCGTTGCTGAACGAGCCGTGACAGCCACGGGTCTCCCCCCGCAGGGAGCAGGGCAGCAGCCGCTAGCTTGGAAAGCTCTTCCCCGGTAACTTTGGATGCCAGAAGGAACGCCACGATTTCTTTGAAAGGGTTGTTTGCAGAGAAGGGGTTTCTGTGTTGGGTTTTTTTTGTTTGTTTCTTTGTGGGTTTTCTTTTTGTTTGTTTTGTTTGCTTGTTATCTTTATTCTCTCTGATGTGCTTACCCGTTGCTACGTGATAGAGAATTACTGCCAAATAAAAAGCATAATGAATTGCAGCCGTAGTGTGCTGGTGCTGAAACGGTTAAATTTTTGGTGGTACCTTTTTTCCAGGACCATTATAAATGTTCTTGTTTAACAAGCCGCCGCATACACCACCTGCTTTTCTATAGAAAGTGTTACAAAGTAAAGCCCCTTGAATCCAGCCTTAATGACATAAGCAGGTAATCTTTCTAGAGGGAGACTATCAAACTTCTTTAATGAGTAGTTCCACTTCATTACTGAAATACAGGCCTGGAAGCTACCGTTTTGTGTTCAGCTAACATTCCATGTATTACTGTATGAAGTTTTAGGCGTCATTTTAGTAATTCACGAAATTTTGTGTTAAATTCTCCTTGGAGAAAGGGCCAAAGCTAGAATTAAAACTGTTTTGTTAGAACTGACAGAAGTTTCTTCAAGTTACAGCCTTAAGTCACATCTAAATGTCTTAGACAGTACAGAAATTCTGTGTATAAAGTTATAAATAGCTTTATAGCTAAACATATATGGAATAGGTTCAAATTATGAATGCTGCTAAAGAGTTGGTTTATTAGGCTGTGATTAACCACTTTTGGAGGTAGTGTTACATTTAGCTGAAATTAATTATGGTGCTGCTAGAACTGATGTCTTTCTGTATATAAATGTCACCATGATGTGAAGATTTTAGGAAGCTGTTACCACAAAGTGAATTAGTCTGATTTTGTGTATGCAAGGTGTGAGGTAATTGCAGAGTCTTTTTTTTTTTTTTTTTTTTTTTCTGTATTCCTGGTTGTCATTTATTTGCAGAATTATTGCTTTATCACCAAAGGGAAGTATTTTTCACTTTGACACTCAAAAAATCATTGCTTTTTCAATGTGACTCTCAGTGAGGTATAGACCGGTCTTGTATAAATCAGTTTGGAAACGTGTTGAAATGTCTGTGTGCTTTAAGCTGATTGTAATGACCAGCATATGGAAAATGTCCTTATGAAAAAGGAGAGGGAGGGAGCATGCATCTTAATGACTGATTAATAGCACTTCAGAGAGCTAAAAACCCCTCACTTTGTTTTAAGCAATGAAATTGTAAAGATTTATGTATTTATGCTAATGTATAAGCAGATATATATCTGCTTATAAGTGAATAGTACATAATAATTTGTCTGTTTACAAATAAATGGCTAGTTGTGGTTGCAGATAATTTTTTTAATAATATGAAGAAGACATGTTAATCTGTACAAAAATTATATTGATTCTATCACTTTTTAAAATTCATATTTTGTTCCTGTGTTTTAAATCCCCCTTTTTTATTTTTAACAAGCTGTGGAATTTCTTTTTTTTTTTTTTTTTAGTAATACTGCTGGACTCTAAAGCACAACAGACAGAGTTGGAATGGATTTCCTCTCCTCCCAATGGGGTGAGTACTGCAGGCAAAGCTTAAGTTCCTAAAGATGAGTAGTTAGTTTATCAAAGCAGTTGAAACACCTGCTTTAAGCTAGTTCACCCTCATATTTCTCTCAGTAATCATACCAAGTGTTTATGGCTTTCTCATTTTTAGAATGAAACCTCACATTACAGTGTACAAATGTACAAGCCAATTAAAAGCAAGTGGCTCTTAGGAAACTTTTGTTACTTTTATGTTTTGTAATGTGTTTCTTTCTGCTATACAAAGGATTACACTGTATATTTATAACACAGTATTTTAAATCCCTTTTTTTTTCTTCCTTTAGAAACAACAGATCTGCTTCTGTGTGGAGACTTTCTAAAAATATGTTTTTCATTTTCTGTAGAATGGGTGATCATAAATTTGTTTACAATGTTTTCTTTGTAATTGAATAGCACAGATTGAAGTGCTCTAAAATAAAAACATTTATATTGCAGATGTGTTTGAAATGACATTCCAAACTTGAAACATCCCCAAGCCTTGAGGAACTTGATATCTGGAACTAGGCACGAATTATGTGGTTAAGGCCACCTCCAGCTTGCGTACAAATTAATCTCTTGGCATTCTATGAAACGTACCATTGTAAAGTACATCATTATAAAAATGAGATGTTTAGAAACATCAGTGTTATTGTCTTATTATATATGTAAAGTTGGGAAATGCTGTTTTCAGTCTGAATTAAAAGTGTTATAAAACCTCTTCTTCCTCAAGCCTTGAGGAAGAACATTTTCAGAGAAATATAATGGATATATTGTCCTATTTTAACTCAGTCCTACATGAACTTAGTCTGACAAATCATAAATTACATGGACAGTTCTTGCTCATGGAAACAGTCTTGCTGAATCTATTGTGACCCCTTGCACAAACTTTGCAAGAATTTGGGGGATCAGTCCCTTAATCTTCAGTTCATTAAGAAATCTGGAGCCAGAAGAGTGTGAAGTGTGAGTAGGGATATGAAAGTGTAACAAATCCTTTAAATAAGAAGAATGAAAATGTGCAAGTGTCTTTCTTTAAAAGCAAGATTGTAGTATCAATACAAGCATAAACTGGAAACTAAATCTAAGGACTTCAGAGGGACTGTAATGCGGGCTCAATGTGTATGATGGCCAATAACCTCAGCATTAGTGTTTTGTGCTGATTGAAGCCTTTACCAGAGGTGTTTGAAAGATTAGCTTGGTGGCATTTATATTAAGCTAACCTGTAGATAATGAAAGACATGTCAACGCATGTTGCACATCAGCATACTGAAAGATGAAAGTAGAGTCCAATTGAATAAATAGTGAAAAGAGAGTTTCAGAGGTAGAAGCGAATTTCAATCATAAATTAAAAGTGAATCAAAACTAATGGCGAGATTTGTATGTGTGAAAGTGTTCAGAAAAAGTTGTCTGTAAATTAACATAGAAGTACCATTTTAATAATGTAATTTTGAAAAGAAACGTTTTTCTAATTTTAATTACTGTATTATTTACTATGCAATAAAGACTTCATGGGAATGAACACAGGAAATTTTGACAGAAACTACTGCATCATCACAGTAGAGAATATATCAGACACTCATTAAATGCCTCATTCAACTGCAAATGCTACATTTAATGTGGTTAAGATAACGAAGAAGTTAAAATACCACAAAGTGAAACCAATAGAACAAGGCATATTCAAACAGATTTGCATGTATAGCACCATATTTTGCAGTAGGACAAAGAAAAGTGGAGTTTTCTTTCTGTGAAATGGTTCACTATAAGAAAGCTTCAATGAATGGTAACCTCAGCTGCCATAGGTGGAAACATCTTGAAGTACTGACATATTTTTTTTTTCCTTGCGGACACTCTGATTACATAATTGCATCATAAACCACATTTCCGTAATTTTTTGGCTTTGTCAAAATACGGAAAAATAGCTCCCCTGCTTAATGCTAGGGATGACAAAAAGGAGTGCTTTTTGTGTGAATTTAGTTTTTCTGTATTATTTTCGTTGACTGTAACATAAGAATCTCTTTGTCTTACTGCATTGTCTTACTGAATATCTTCTTTCAGAATCTTGTTTGGTGTCCTAAGAGAAGAATGCTTAAACAAGATAAAATATAAAACAAAAAAAAAAAAAACCAAAAAAAACCACCAAACCATCTCAAAGGAATGCCAAAGGACATAGCATTACCTAGCAAAATTTTATTCTTTATGCCTTTTCTGTCATCGTGATGGGTTTTTTTTTTTAATGGGGAGATGTTTTTTATTATCATGCTATAGCCAAAATCCTCTCAGTCCAGGGCCCGTTTTTTCTTTTTCTTGTTTTTTCCAGTTCTTGTAGAGGTGAAAAAAATATTACTCATTTGACTCGCTAATAAATCTGTTATGAAGATAGACATTCTTTTGTTCAGAGGTTAATACTGTTCCATATGCAATCACTTCAGTTAACTCCATGAGCATTTAATAATCTATTTCAATCATTTAATACCATCTGCATATAATATATAATACTGTATATATCTCATCTATATTAACTGTAGGTCCTTGAAATGCGCTTTGATATTTACAACTTCTGTGCATTTCAGCATCTGCAGCTGTGATATATTTTGTGGTGATAACTTCCAGCATCAATTCAGCCACATCTGTTTTTTCTTGAAACAGACAACAACATTAAAATGGTCTCATTTGCTGTCAAATAGGCTTGGAGAGAGTAGTGTACACTGTGTGGCTCCTGATCTGGGAAACCAGTGCCTTCTATGCTTGGTTGCCAGCATGAGGAATGTCAGTGGATGCTCCATCCTGTAGAGGTGCCGACTATACGAGTCCTACAAAGCACTTAAGCATGTGCTTACCATTAAGCTCATAAGTACAGTCACTGATCTTAAGCATGAGCTTAAGTGCGTTATTGACACAGGGCCAGAGGGCTGAGTGCCATCCAGAGAAATCATGGTTGCCTGTATCCTGGGGTGACGATAGCTCACCCCCCTCCTCTAATTTACTACAGCTGCAGTTTCTGCAGGCACTGAAATGTTACAAGAAATTTGAAAAAAAAGGGAGAGACAAGGATTGTTTTGGTTACACCTGGGCAGATCTGTCAGGTTTGCCATTGCTGGAGGTGCAAATTCCCACGCTACCAAAGGCTGTTAAAGACTCTGGGATTGTTAAAGGCTTACCAGCTCATTACACAGTTGGTAACCTAAAGAGAGAGAATCAACAAACTCGGGCTTTGAACCAGAGAGCTTTCAGTCATATGGGTTGTTTTTAATTCTGTATGTACTCTCGTGGTTAATTTGAATTCCCAGCTACATGAAGTTTGCCCCTTCTAATATGGGTGCAGCCACTGTACAAAAGGCGAGGTGGGGAGGAACTGCTACTTACCCTTTCAGTTGGTAAATAAAACAGAGGGTAGACAGAAAGAAAGGGAGACAACTAAAATGTTTTCTTGCTTTCAGATTTTTAATTCTGTCAATTTTCTCTTGCCTTCTCTCTATGCCATTTTGATCACATAGGGGTGGGAATCATCTGACTCAAGAGTTTCAGGACCTGATCCCATGCTTTCTATACAACTGCAAGTTTCATTGGAAGTTTTACATGCACAAGTTTTATGTACTTTAATGCCAAGCAATTTCAGTTTCTAAGACTTCAATGACCTTAAGTTTCTTTGGAAGAGTAGCTGCCTCCCTCCTTTTGGTCTTTGCTCACTCAAAACCATTGTGACATTAAAGAAATGTGTGTGAGTTTAGGGTGAAATCAGAACCTGGTATGCTAAACAGCCTTTTCTGAAGCTGCCCCTTTGCAACTGTGCCATGATATGACAATGATTTTTAGACAATTTCCCATGTATGTGGGAAAGACATGAAGGGAGAGAGAGCCTGCTCTTGCATTAATATATATTTTCTTCTTTTAGATGCTTAACAGTATTTTTAACAACTTACTGTTAAAAAGAAGGGAAATGTGAGTTGTGTGAAGTTTTTTTAAGAACTCAGTAGTTACATCTGGTGACATACTTCTTGTTTATTACTAACTGTTTGTTATCATTTTAGTGGGAAGAAATTAGTGGACTGGATGAAAACTACACTCCTATACGAACATACCAGGTATGCCAGGTGATGGAATCAAACCAAAACAACTGGCTTCGGACTAACTGGATTGCAAAAAGCAATGCACAAAGGATTTTTGTAGAACTGAAATTCACTCTGAGGGATTGTAACAGTCTTCCTGGAGTTCTGGGGACTTGTAAAGAAACCTTTAACTTGTATTATTATGAAACAGACTACGACACTGGCAGGAATATCCGAGAAAACCAATATGTAAAAATAGACACTATTGCAGCAGATGAAAGCTTTACCCAGGGTGATCTTGGGGAGAGAAAAATGAAACTTAACACAGAGGTGAGAGAAATTGGACCTTTGTCCAAAAAAGGATTCTATCTTGCGTTTCAGGACGTAGGGGCCTGCATTGCTTTGGTCTCTGTCAAAGTCTACTACAAGAAGTGCTGGTCCATCATTGAGAACTTAGCTATTTTTCCTGACACAGTGACTGGCTCAGAGTTTTCCTCTTTAGTTGAAGTGCGAGGAACTTGTGTCAGCAGCGCGGAGGAGGAGGCGGAGAACTCGCCAAAGATGCACTGTAGCGCGGAGGGAGAATGGTTAGTGCCTATTGGAAAATGTATCTGCAAAGCAGGATACCAGCAGAAAGGAGACACGTGTGAACGTAAGTAAACTGTACTTACTGTAAATTGTAGGTCATGTTCTACTAGATTTTTGTGTTTTTTCACTTTTTTTTTTAAGAGAAATGCATCATCAGTCTGCTTTTAAAGTTTTCAGATCCTCAGTCTGTAGTTCACACTGAATCTGAAGTTCATACTGGTTAATCTAAATCAGTCTGTCTGATTATGAAAATCAGTGGTTGCTCAATGCTGTATTGAATTTGAAGAAAAAGGTTGAAGTCATAAGTATAAAGATGGGTTCAGGACTAAAATTATAGACTGTTTCTTGCATCTTTTGGTAAGGCTGAGTAAGTCATACCTATCACAGAACATTGTAGCAATAATGTCAGGTATGAGTAGGTAAACAGTTTGTTCTTTCACATGATCTCTGACATAATTATAAGAAAGCTAAAATGGATGTAGTAAACAGAATGGGTGTGGTTAGTAATGGGGAAAATACACACAAAATCAAACCGAACTAGAGATTTGTGACAAGTGTAAAACCTCTAAATGTAAGACAAATATTTCAAATAGAGAATAAATATAATGTCCTTTCTATAATTTTTTTTTGCGCAGAACTAACTCTAAACTTTTGGCTTGCAATTGAATCATTGTGATTATTTTAAAATACTAGAAGATCAGAGAGTACTGAGTTGTACTTCCTGATTCAAGGCTAATTCAGTTAACCATGTTCTTAGAATTATACTTACCTAAGCATTGCTGTTACTGGGGCTACAGACATGAGACGTTTCTGCTTAGCATGAGAAAGAATATTTTATTGTCTTTGCTTCCAGTAAGAACAAGAGAATCTGCAGTTTGTTTGGAGATAGCTATTTTAATGTACACTTAATACAAGGTCTATCATTTTTTATCACAAGATAACACAAGAAGTTCTATATCACCATATGTTTATTGCGATGTAGGCAGACATTTGTTGATGAGAAATATTGTAAGTGAAAAAGTGGAAAACCCCCCCCAAATCTGTGAAGAGAAGAAATGTACATAGTCTCAAAAACAAAGCTGGTAGCACTCATTGAGTCTGAGGTGCCTTAGTCTGATGAAGACTTCAAAAAATGTAGAGGATTTGGGACATCCTAAAAAAAAAAAATGAGTCTCTTTAATAATAGCTTTCCACATGAAAAAAAACACAGTTCTGCTTTTGACGAGTTTCAATGAGGAAATTCAGTAGAAGGTGAAGTGAGGGGAGTTGATCTCAGGGCTTTGTAACTCCACACAAATCTTTCATTGTTCTGTTGGGAAGGGATGAAGTCTTAAACACTGCAGAGGGTGATCTCATTAGGAGTAATTGTAATGTGAAAAACTTCCCTGGCAAAACTGTTCAGTAGACTGTATTAGAGGTCTGTTAAAAATATTAAGTGCTATGTCCCATAGAAGTCTGTGTTGAGGTTTTAGAATTTTTTTCTGAGTGACTAATTTTTTTCCCTTTTTTAGTTAATTTGTTCTTGATTAGAGACCTAGTTATCATTAATGTAATTAATATACTAATTTTATTTGACTTTCAGTAAGGGAGAGAAAATATCAAAAAAACCCCAAGTGTATGTTAGGAAGGGGGTACGGGACATAACCTGAGTGAGCATAGCAGGGATGGATAGGGAAGAAATTGATGTTTGGTGACTGGAATTCAAGTAACCTGTTTATTGAACAGGCTTCTTAATTTCTAACTGTGCTGATGTTGACAAAAGAATTAAATGATAACTTGTACTTGAGCCTGGTGGCGTGCTCATTTGCAAGAACATTTCCCATTTTTGGCTTGCTTCCAAAGCAATCGCTGGGAGAACACGCTACTCTGGAAGCCGTCCAGAGGATCATTTATGGTATTTTTCCTCTTTTTTTTTCAGTGATCCTGTTAAGAGTTTCAAAACAAACTCTGGCCCCATATTGAGGCAAGCTAATGTGTTTGAGAGGGAAAAGGTGGTGGGTAGGCACTCATCGAGTGCTCGCTGAGTCGGCAGCTCCAAGTCAGAACGATCTGGGTGACTGTGGCACACGCTTGTAATTGCTGTCTGTGTGTCCTGTCTGGGCTTGAGGATGTTATTAAGTATGATCAACTATGTAGTGACCGATAATGCAGCTGGCACACTGATACTGCGTCTGTTTTTTGTGACAGATATTGAGAGAAACTTATCTGTACATTGACACTAATGCAACTGGCTATCTGTTACTGTCAAGCTGTGTAACAGATCAAGTGGAACCAAGTTGCTGTGTACTTCCTTAACCCAGAGCTTTTGTATCCCTGTCTGAGGGCTCACTTCTGCAAATACTTTGTACCTGGCATGCTGTGTGAGTTCTTTGGGACTACTCAGGGCAGAAAGTATTGTGCTCTGTCAGGATGGGCAGACATCTGTGATTCTTCTCTCACACTTGCTAAAGCTCTGCTGAATTAATTTAACACAATAGGATTGTCTTTTAAAGATACAGAATAATACCTTCTCTGGCTGTGTTGCAGTAAAGGTAGGAGTAGATGACCACATTGTAGTTCCAAATATCTCTTCAGCCTGTAACTCAGCAGGGATTTTCATTTGTGTTATGCTAGCTTGATTGTCTGTCTGTGATAGAATTATTTGTTCCTTTTGCATACAGCTCTTTTTGCATACAGCTCCTCTCCTGTTTGTGAAATTTATTGAGTTCAGATACGAAAACAATTGAATTTTGATTTATACACAGCTCTGCACTGGATGCATTTCTTTCTTTGTTGTTGTTGTTGTTTTTGGTTTTTTGTTTGTTTTTTTGGTTTTTTTTAATGAATGTAAGTAACTTGTAGTGCTGAGAAGGATAAGGAAGAAAACAATCATGAGTGGTGAAACACATAACCTGGAAAATAAAGTTCCCTGTGTTCCCTCTTCATTGCTTGATCTTTCAAACTGAGTTAATATTTTTTTTTCCTTTTGGATGTACACCGATTACTTCTCACTATTCGAGTGCCAAACAGTCCTTGCAGCCTCAGTGGTCTAAAACATACATAAGAGAGCCAAATTTCAGAGCGATCACAAATGCAATTTAAAGCAAAATCTTAAAGCTGTGTGAAACAGAAGGAAACTAGGTGAGCCTCTGAACTTTCAGCTGCAGACTGTTTTGCTTATGTGCAAGGAGACTCTTTCCTCAGTGTTCTTCTTAGGTCTGCTGATGTGTAGCACTAGGTTTAGGTGTGGAAATTGTACATTTTAAAGGATTATCTTGAAGGGTACTTCGCAGCAGTACCAGAAAGGTATTTAGACATATTCAGTTCTTTTGACACGATGTATTGCATCTGTTATGGGAAAAAAACCCATCCAACCAAACAAAAAACCCTCATCCAACCAACATAAAAAAGCCCCAGCCACAAAGCCCAGTGGACTTCTCAGTAACTGTAGTGGACTCCCAATGGGTCTAACGTGGACTTTTCTCACAGTGGAGTTCATTTGATATGTTATGCATGTAAAGGAATACACTGTGATCAGTGATTGATATTTGAAGGTGAAAATAATTCTATGAGAACTTCTACTATAATGTATTTTCCATCTGTTTTATGTTAGTTGGGGGTGGAGAGGGAGAGAATTAAATTTATTCAATCAGAGCAGTAGAGTGATATTTCAGAAAGTATGAAGCTTCTCTTAATATTACTGAACTGAGAAATTACATAGATCTCTGGGCAACAAGTTCAAAAAATCCAGTTGCTAGGGGAAGCCAAATCAGTGTATTTTACTGTTCAACATATTATAATACTGTATGCATTAACAGTTGTTTTATTGGCCTCCAAATGAGGAAGGGATGATAACTGTTTGCACATTTTGTCTTGGTGTGGTAAAAAGGGAGCTACAGGGTTTTCTTTCCAGACTTTGTCAAGTGCTGTACACTGTGCCAAAGAGCAAGCTGCATCTGTTCCTTCTCTTTTTTCTTCTTGGGACAAACACTTTTTCTCTTCACTTTGTGACTCTGATAACAAAGTTAGAAACTGAATTTGCCTTATGTGCAGCATATTTGTGGTAAAATATGTGTGGTTGTGTTTTTTTTGTTTTGTTTTTTTTTCTTTATTGTATGTTTTGTTTTTTAATGTTACTCCATTTAGGAGCTGATGTGCCACACGTTTATTAATAGAGGGCAATGAATTAAAATGGGAATGTGAATAAGTTGTAATTAAAACAAATATTACTATGCTTCCCAAAAGCCCAAGTTGCTTGTGCTTTGGGTGTAGAGTTCAGCTCAGGGAGTGTGTCACAGAAAATGTGGATGACCTGCAACTTAAGTAACTTATGCTGACATTCCTGCATTTTCAACTTATAAATTTTTTGCTTTGTGAAGATGGGGAAAATGGTAGAAAACTTTTCAATGGCATTTATATCATCAAGACTTTAAATGTTTCCTCTTTTGAAGAAGAGTTACCTTTCTTCCGTTTGCTTCCAAAATTACTCTAGGGAAGAGAATGTAATTAGTTTCAGCTAATTGAACCTGAGCAGAGAATGAGGGTATATCTCTGTGTCACTGAGTCTTGTCATTTTCTCAGAAGCCCATAAAAGTTCAACAGCAGAGCATCTATCTCTTTCTCCTTTTATTCCCTAACATATTAAATAACTTTTCTGTTCCTTTTTAAAGAAAGGCCAGTGGGATCTGATATCAGGAATCACATACAGCTGAATATGAACTATTTGATTAAAATATAAGGAAAAAGTTTAAAAGGTAGGTATAAATAAACTAGATACTTTAAAGTGAAAGTAAGACCTTTTAGCTAGATGGTCAAGAATTACTGAAGGTGTTTCTAGCATGAAATAAAGAGCTTTAATTTCTACTTCAAGTCCTCTTTAGAATTTGTAGAAAGTTGAATGTTTTGACTATCATTCACCCCGTAGTCTTCCGAATTCCCTTCCTGTCAGGGAGGTGTGGCATAAAGATATATTTTCTTGGTATATCTTCCTTTCAAAACAGTCTAATGTTCATAAAGAGAACAATTTTTACAAATTTGTCTCTCTAAGTAATTTGAATTTCTCTGACCTACTTTGTTCATGTTCTTCAGCTTTCTGGATGTGAAAGCGCAGGGAGTAGAGAGGGAAAAGAAAGGGAAAAGAACTATGTCCACTGTTAAATATGACCTCTTTGAAAGTGTTTTCCAAGTGAAGTAACACAAAATGCTTGGTATTCTCACTGGTCAGGGCTAGCCATTCCCTGAAACAAACTGATGCCTTCATGGTTCATAAAATCTGTTTCAGGTCTCTTCTGTGTTGTTTTTTGGCCTGAAGATACAATTGATTTTTTGTAGTGCTGATTTGCCTGAAGTATCTGAATGAATTTGGTAAGTCTGATTATAGGTTGTCATAGTTTTGGTGATACAGCATCCTCTCCCAAATGTGGCATGAAGAGATGAGAGAACTAAAATGATGGGAAGTCAAAGTGATAAGTAATGAAGGCAGTCGAAAACCATCTAGTTTTTTTCATTCATAATGCCATCAGAGTGGTCCCTAAAATGAATCAACTGCAGAACTACTGACAGATTTAGTTCTCAATAAACTAGTAGTTTTCAGAAGAGCTGAAAGAGGTGAAATTGCACATGCAAATAGGAAATCAGGAACCCAGATCCTAGAAGTGGGGTTGTTGGATAACGTAGTCAAATGTAGAGCTCTTTTCCTCTCCAGCCTCTTGTCCTCTGCCCTCTGGCCTGCCCCTTGCTTCTGCTGTCTCCAGGAATTAGTTTTAGTTTTGCATTTTACTTGAGGTTTGATGAATACGAATTTCTTCAGCTAAATTTGCTGCATTGTTGTTGTTTGGATGTTTTTTTGTCAGATCTGCTGCTGTGCACAGATTTTGAAATGAAAACAAAACCAGCAATGAAATCTAAGAGAATTTATTAATATCTCCCTTAGTTACAGGGAAAGCGCTAAAACTGTCTGTTTTACTGGTCTGGGATGCCACTATACTGAATTAGCTATGGTTGCTCAACAGCTGGGCCATTAACTCCTTAGCCATAAAGTGTATCTTCTGTTTGCTCTAAATGAAGCTTTACTTGGTATTTAGGAATGGAATCTCATCCTGACAAGTCTGCTGCCCAAAACCATACATTTTGCTTCTGAAACAAACGTTCCTGTCCAGAAATCTTTTGTGAATGGTGCAATAGGCATCTAATGGCTTTGCTATAATTTTCTAAGTTTGCTATGTTTCTAAGTTTAAACAAAATTTCCTACATGAAAAAGAAGCTGCTTAATTAGAAATTCTGAGAGGATTTTTTGGTTTGTTTATTTTGGTGTGGGTTTTTTTTGTTTTTGTCCAGGTTTTCTGTAAACCTCTCAGAATTAGGCTACTAAAAATAAATCTAAATATTCTTTCTTTTCTGAGTGAAAATTGGAGAAGTCACATAAAATCCTCATTAGGAGTATCATAAGCGTACATGCATTCTGTTTAAGAAAAAGTGAAACAAAACCCATCTAGAAAACAAGGTTTCAGGAACTGAAAAAAAGAGTTAGTAGGTTACAGAGAAACTGAAAGTAGGGATCAATTAGTGGAAGAGCTGGTGAAGAACATGTTAATAACTATTTACCTAATCTACTTCATCTGTATCTGTAAAACATCTATTATCTCTATGCTGAAATGCTGTTGAAAGTTTTTCAAGAAAGCTGCAGTTCAAAGTATAAATTTTTCTCTGAAAATAAGAAAATTTAAGTAAAGGGCTGAGTTTGAGGTTATTTAAGAAGTTAGACAACCATATGGTGTGATCTATGTTTGATACTGAAGCTGAAAAAAAAATGGAAATTATGTGGGCAAAATGTTTGGTTAACTAGATTAGATTTTGAATTTTGATGCATCCCAAACTTCCTCTGTTATTGTGAAAATATTGCTCCTCTGCAACAATTCCTGTATATTAAGTAGTATTAAATCCTTAAGAATATCTTTCTGTTTTCACTTGGGAAATGATGGAGACAATTTTAGTGCAGGTTTTCAGTTAATATGCTTATTATGACTTGAACTGTGGACTAAAAGTTAATTCTTGCTCCTTGACTTCTCAGCTGACTTGCCCTATACTGTGTGAGCTCTGTCTGCAATGCTAATTTAGTTATTAGAAATGGTAAATCGTACACAGTGTATTGTGGATTGACGCTTTTTAGATTGAAAATAAATAAAACACGTTCAAATTAATATCTGCAAAGTCAAAATGGATCTTTTGAAGTTTTTTAATAAGCTATATAAGTTATATACATTTAACTTAATTGCATTTTTTTTTTTGCCTCTGCTAAAGGTACTATAACTATTACTTCTATAAAAAACTTAAGGCTAGAACCAAATTGAGAGTAAAACAGTTTGTAAGAGTTTCCTTCAAAGAATTAGAAAAGTATATTCAGGGAGCTTATTAAAAGCCAAGCACTTGAGAGGAAAAATATGTAGGTAATTTCTACTGTAATCCTTCACAGTATTGTGGCATCAGAGAACCAGAAAAAGGGCAGGTTGACTATTTAAGTCAGCATAATCCTTCTTTAATTTCATAAAAAGAAGCCCCTCTTTACAGAATGGTGTGTCTAATTTCTTCTATAACATAGCATTATTGTGAAAATAGCAGAAGTAGCAAATGCATTTAAGAGAATTTTATGAACACACTTCTCCTTACTCAGAGAAGCTTTTATCCCTGTGCACTTCCTAATCTTTGTGCTGCTGCTGTCACAGTGAGTTCTCTTGTCCCTAATATTAATGAAAAATATATGCTGCATGTGAAAGTGAATAGTATCCAGTTAATAGCTCACAGCAGAAGCTGTGGCAATCTTGTGTTTTATTTCTTGCTTTCAGACACATCAGCAATGTGTGCCTTGTGGCTCTGGTGAAAGTATTTTTGTATATTTTTCCATTAATGACTGTTTCTGACTTCACAGTCCCCCTAATAAACACAAAACACCAACAAAAAGGAGAATGTCTGTTGAGTATTTAACACTTTTTCCTTCTATTTTTCTTCATTAAGAAAAGATTTTCCATTTAGGAAAAAATATCTCTTTGAATGTATATGCTCTTCGGAAAATTTTGCTTAATATCAAGCTAATTTATAAGTCTAATTCAGAGTAGCAAATGCAACTAAGTATAAAACTTGCATGCAATAAGAATTTGGCTCAGATACTGTATTTCTTGAGTTTAGATCCTGTCAGGGCATGTATCTGTACATTTTTATTTAGCTGGGTGGCCCCGCTGCTTGTCTTAAGGAGGATAAAGTTGCTCAGATCTCTAACAAACAGGGTTTTTTACCCAGGGTAATTTGATACTTTAACCTCTTAATTTTTATGATTTGGATTAGTTACATGTGTCTCTTGGCAAGACATGGCTCTACTGCAATAATAGTACCAAGCATTTTTCCAGTAAAAGTCTTAATTAACTTCAGTTAATATCATCTTATATCTGTGCATACCTCAAATGTGTGCGACTGATGGGTAAAAAAAAAGGAAGTACATGATTGAGAAACACAATTACTGTTACTATTTTGTAATGTATTTAGTATACATAAATGCAAAAATTATTTCTTGTTGTAATTGTAAAATGCACTAAGGCTTTAGAGAGGCTGGAGTAAGTCTACAGCAGACTGGATGCTGATTTTCTTTTTAATAAAAAAAATTCTGATACTATGTATTACCATAAGTAAACATGCTGAGAAACTGTAAAAATGAGGTTTCTACTTTTCACTAAACAAGTTATAAATGTTTTAAGGAAGTAATGCCTAATGCAGGAAACTATCTGTAGAATTGCAAGCTGAGGCACCATCCCCAGAACTTAATGGAAAGAATCCTATTAACTTAATGAGAATAACATCATGTGTTGATGTTTTCCTACTGAGGAAAGTGCTAAAGTTTTAGGTAAGTGTAAGCATATACTTAAACCTGAAACTTCTAGGTTGATGAAACATATTTAAATGCATGCTTTATTAGAATTTTAAGAATTGCAATATTGTGCTGCTATAAATGTACACAGAGAAGTGAATATAAACAGCGCCCTAAAATTCCCCTGTGGTACATCTCCCACTGATGAGATGCATAATCTCTAGTATAATTATTGGCTATAACTTGTTATTATTCTTTCCTTGCATGTAGTGAGTATGAAATACCATGGGTTGTAGATGACTGGTGTTTGTTTTGCAGTGGATGGAACATGGAGGATTAAACTTTTGTTGGGGGGTGGTCAAGTGGTTTTTGGTGGTCTTCTGGCAGGTGACTAATGTGGTGGCCTTATGTAGTCATATGCATGTGACCTGCTGTATGTTCCCTTTCTTTGTCTTACTGCATGTGTCCTCATAATGTCACTAAAGTGCAAGTGTCCCCTGAGAGTTGCTAGAGCTAATTTTTCTCAAATGACCATGTATATGCTTTATTTCTAGTCTTATAACATAGTGTATGTGTGCATATTTTCCTATGTAAGTCTAAACCCATGTATAGGAGAGGGCAGAACATCCTTCATCCACTTGTGATGGACCATCAAAATAAAACTCAGGAGTTGTATGGAGCTTATATTAATGGCCTGATCCACTTGACCTGAAAAGTTAAAATGGCATGGGGCCTCTGACCCTCCAAATCCCACAGTTTCTCAGTTTATGGGCTAATGTTTATTTGTGAGTAGTAAACATAGTATTTTTTTAACTTCCTGAGTGTACCAGCTTTTTTTTTTACACTAAACTATTTCAATTACTATGTGGTTAGATTTTGAGAAAGAATGATACCTTTAATGGAAGTGTGTGCGGTGTCTATTTGAATCAATCAATTTGTGTCCACAGAGGGGTATAGTTGCTGTTGAGAAACTTAGTAAATCTCTTATATAAAATACTGGAACCCTTGCTTAGCTACCATGAAAATTCTAAAGAATGTTGGCAATTGAGGTTTTGTAAGTGAAGTTTATTGTATTCCGAAAAGTTTGGCAGTTTGGGTGCCAAACAGCTGATCTCTAATAATGCTGTTCAAAAATTCTACTAATTACATGTTCAAAATTTTTTCTATGGGACACGGTCTGAGTGGACAACATGTGGCTGTGACCACTGGCCATATTTAAATGATCTCATGCAACTCATGTTATCCAGGCTTAGGTAAATTATTTTTATTGCTGAGGAGAATTTGAGCTTGGATCTCTTGCTTCAAATAGGGCATGTCTCTTAACCGACATGCAGTCACTGTTAGAAGGTTTTATTAGCTACTGCTGAAACTTGTTCTCATAGTGTAGCAGGTAGAACCGTTCATATAGAGTGACAGATTCCAATGCCTTAGGTTTATGAGTTTTCTTTTTCATATATTTATTTATGTGACTATATATAATATATAAAACACACTGACATGCATATAAAATATAAACTATTTAATGTTTACTATTTTTGCACTAGTGATTCCAAATATTGACATAATTTTGTTTTGACTAATTATTTGCATTGTGTATATACATATTTATTAGGTGAATGGTAGAACTGGAGAAAAAGTTATACTGATTTTTTTTTTTTGCTTATAAGAGTGATGTGTTTGTATGTCAAAGCAAATGGAGATGTATTGATCTTTTCCCTTGTTTCTGCTAGAATGTATAGGTTTTTTTAAGTCTTAAAATATTAAGTAAAAAAATGTAGCTAGGAAGAAAAAAGATCATATGGAGCAGATTTTTTATTTTAAGATGATATTTGGTATTTTGTTTTTAATTGCTACATAGAGATAGTTTTGGAATGTAACTGGAATACTTTCAAAGAGAGGGTATTCTTCCTTGATTTAATTTTCTTGTATCAGGCCCATGATACACCCTCTTAGCTGAAATCAAGCATTGAAACTTGGATATTTGATTTCTCAAGTTTCAAAATGTCAACGTATTTTTTCTTGATTGATTTATTTGCACAGTAAAGAAATTAAATAACTCTCCATTTTTTTTTTTTTGTTCAATTTATTAAAAAAGGTTTGTTCTATATTGTGACATTGTTCTGTGCTGATTATGCAAGAATACATTTGTCTGTTATACAGAAAAATTGGCATTTTTCAAGGTGTGGTAAGTTTTATTTGCACTAACTAGAAAAAAAGAGTAGTGATAATGTCCTTTCAAATGATAACTAAAGGAAATGGATATTGTTTTAACTGTTAGCAAACCCCAAAGCTCTGCGTTGTCACCTAATTATCTCACCTATGGACATCTCAGCCAGATTTCATCTGCAGTCTGATGCTGGGAAGTGTGAAAGTATCATGTGCTTAAAATCATAAGAAGGATTGAAAATCATATCCCCTTGTGCAGATGGAATAGAATTTTCAGTCTGTGGTCTCTGACTGTCTCTTCTCTTTACTTAACACTTATAATTAGTTGTATATCAATTAATTTTCTGATTAAAAGGCATAATTTTTTGTCTTTATGATGCATATGCTTGTCTGTCTGCTTTTGTTTGTCAGTTAAAATAAGTCCCTACTTGTCCTATTACTGAAAAATGTCTTGTCAGTGGAATTGCTAGTGGATAATACTGGTAAACAAGGGAGAGAAATGGCATCTTTTTTTAAAACAGTTTTTCTTTTCCCTGGGCAAATGCAACATAGGAGGAGACAATGACATACTTACTTTTGATCTTTTATCTTAAAGATTTTCTGTCATATTTAGAGCTACAGTCATTGTATTGTGTATTATTGTTGTAAAAAATCATGTATCCAAGAAGAAAAGATTCAAAATTCCATGACAAGTAGAGATGAATGGTTTTTAGAAAATAAAGCACAGGACAAATGATGTGCAGTATCTGAGTAAGGGATTTTATTTCCCTCCTTAATACAAGGACTAAATGAAAATGCAATACTTGTTCTCACAAAACAAACCCCACTTTTATAATTCTGCCATTTAAAGACATTTTGTGTGTTTAAGGAGTGACAAGGGTATTCATTATTAATTAACATTCAGGAGATAACTGACTGTCAGTTGCCAGTCAGAGTGGAGCTTGGAAGAATGTTGACATTGATTGATGGACATTATTCTGGGACTGTGCACAAACAACCTGCTCAGGTCATCTGAATACATAGCAACATTACAGATCAACTCCCCATACACAAAAAGCTTGGGCTGTCCTTTCCAACAGGAGGATATCCTTCCAGGTATCCTAGATTCCCTTGATTTTTAAGCTAAGCCTTCACTTTCCTGCCCTGTGGTCACCAGTTAAGAAAACTTCAGTTTTGTGTGGTATATATGGATAAAAAAATGTCACTGTTCTGTTTCTAGGTGTTTGTGATTGTGAGGTGCTTAAGCATTCAGCTTGAAGCAATATCTTTTATGTTGCTTTTTGGAGTGCTATATGTACTTACCTAGTGGATATATACTAATGGAATTTTTTCTATGGGCAGAAGAAAATCCCCAACCCCTAATTTATATTGCTTCAAAATGATGGAAGTGGTCTTTCAATCTTGCCATCTCTATGGTCTCTTCAGAAGTGAGTTTTAAATATCTGCAGTGATACCAGTTGCATGCATCTTCTGGAATCAATAATGTATTTAGATTCAGTGAAATGGAGACACCCTTATGGCACACTCACACCTCTTTTTAAAGGAGGGTATAAGCAAGCTCTTAGTGTGTCACATGCCAGTTCCATGTATCCTAAACTGAGTAGCCTGTTCTCTGTGGGAAGAGTGTCTGAACTTCTCCTGCTTCTTGTGGTGGGCGCCTGCTTGTGCAACAGTGGTAGTACTTAACTAAAGAAACAGAGAATGGTAAATTATGGGCTGTAGAGACTTGCAGGGAGGTGACACTTTCCTATGTAAGTGAACAGCCTGGTCATCAATATATGATAAGCACCTGCTGCACAGATACTTATTTCTCATCATTTTTCTCAATCTTAATTTTTTAAATATGCTTCCAAATATATAATGGTTAGATTTATTAACTAAGACAGAGGGCTGCTCATTAAGGTGGTTGAAAAGGAGAGCATATGAATGGAGCCCTTTTTCCGTGATTATTCATGGGGGCAAAACTCCTGTGCCCCATGTGTTACATAACTCTGTAGGTTAAAAATTGGATCTGTCGTGTCTTCTTTAAAATCCTCATAACTTTTAGCTTTGGGAGACATTGCAGTTCCACCCACTCCAGATGGAAGAAGCGTGCTGCTGGGAATCCCTTGCCAATCTCTGTCCCTGATAACAGTTTCTGAAGCATATTGGGGAAATCTGTTGAGAGCTGTTAAAATTTCATACTTATGTGCCAGTTTTCTCTTTCTCTGTTTCTTCCAAGTACCCGCTACTGGGGTTCCTTAATTCTTCTTTTGGGGCTGGCAGGGTGTTCCTGCAATGAGGCAGAGCCCACTGCTTTTACCCAGTGGAAAAGGGCACCACAAACGTTTCTGTTGCAAAACTGCTCGTTTTCCCTTGGGTAAAATCTTGCTTGCTTTATTCATAAAAAAAAAAAAAAAATCATAATGAGTCCCTTGGGACTGCTTGTGAAAGTAAGAAAAACAGGAATTGGCCCCATGTCATAACCATCTGTTATTAACACAAAGAGCAAGGGCCCAGTCTTGCAGTCCTTGCTAAAAGCAGTTTGTTTAATAGGAATTACTACAAATATGAAAAATGTGTGTTTTCCTCATTACTGTGACAATATTCCCTTCCAGTAGTGAAAAAAAAAAAGTCATCATGAATCTTGGTGTACAATCACACAATTGCATTATTTTATATTATGGTAGGCTGTATGCAATAAACATCTCATTCCAAGAAATATATGTATTGCAGTATTTTCAAAAATCACTTCAGCTACTTTCACACATATTTTTTTCATAGTATATCTTTTTATTTTATGGCTGAATTATGACTGGGTTTTCTTTTCTACTGTTTTTATGTCTAAGGTAAACCTTTTCTTCTTATTTTTTTTTTATTTTTTATAGCAGTTAGTTTGAAATTTTTTTTCTCTCTTCCAGCAGAAAATATTTGACTTTTTACTCCCCTGCCCCAGACACACACACTCTCCAATCCCCTCCGTCAATTATAACTATGAGTGTTACTGGAAAACTGAAATAATTTGATCCATATTGTCATGATACATCATGGCAGAGAGGTAGTTTTGGTGGCTTGTTACTTCCATTCGCCTGTAGGATGAACTGCTAGTTTGGATTGCATTTTTTTTTCCCAACTTTGTTATCTCCCCTATATTTTATATTTCTATCTTCATATTTGAGAGGATTTTTCCATACTATTCAATACAAACCCCATATCTCTGTAAATGATCAGATGTCTTCCTGCCCATTTGTTTTTCCACCAGTTCATCACTAGTCCTGAGAATTATGCCCAGTCCCTGCAAAGTAACTTGAGCCATGAGTGTTAATAAGAGCATTTAATCCATGCTCCTTCACTTCTGGCTATAAATCTGTTAGGCAGAACACGGGTTGCTATAATCCTGTTGATTGCACCTCAGTGGCAGGCCAGTCCCCTGGCAGGCTGTAGTGCCTTTAAGGGTGCCTTTGAACAATCGGTCTGGCACAGAGCACATGCAGCACAGCCCAGAATCTGGGAAAATATATAAATTATGATAGGAGGCTGCATGTTTCCATGGTGTATGCAGAAAAAAAGGAATTGCTGTATTGGATCAAACAAGTGGCTTGTCAAATCCATTACTCTTTTGCCAGCAAATGTCCAGTAGCAGATGTTTGGAAAAAAAGAAATGAAGGAACATCAGTTTTGCTTTTCTTCAACCCGAAAGCATTCTCTAAAGCTCTGTTATGTCTCCTTTATATAATTTCTCCTGTTATTTTGTCATTCAACTGTTAGAATAATTGTTTTCATTTCATGTTACAGATATATTCCATATAAGCTTAGTGTATTTTTATGATTTTTCTTAAGTTTGTGCCCTCAGATTGAAATAGACCGGAAATTCTACAGATGTTTGTATTATTAACTATTCAAGCCTTAAATTGATACTTTGAACTTGACTGAAAAGGCCCTTGAGGATCTGATGTAGAAGCATACACAGTAACATCACTAAACTGATTTCTGTGCATTTAGAGATGTAGATTTTTAACAGTTTGATGGAGAAAACTAAATTCATAATTTGTAAAATGATGTGTAGAACAAATACAGTAGATTTTTTTTACAGGGATGTTAACAGCAACTTCTTTTTCTATATTTATAGACACTTTGGGCCATTGAAGGGTTAATCCCCAACCCCCCCAGGCAAGCAGGGTATCACTTTCCTTAAAATGCCATTGGGAAACCGAGATAAATGGTGAAGCATTTTCTGTGTTGACATGATGTTCGCCTGTCCGATTGCATCCTTCCCAACAGACAGCAGAGAAGCAATTACAAAAAAAGACATCTGTGCCAAGGTTTGGCTAGCCAGGGAGGGCAAGCTCTTGTGTTTAAGAGGTAGAGAATCCAATTGATGAAAATGTCTGGGCCTGTTAGCACCAATAAAGCTGAAGGCCACTGGGAAGCTCAGGGAGGGTCTTTTGTTGCGAAGATAGAAAAGAGGCCGAAGCTGTGACACTTGGGGAGGAATAGGGTCAGCCAGTACGATCATCCATCTTCCTCAATGGCAGCTTTCTGTCAGTTTTTAACCCTGCTCAGCAGAGGATCTAAACCCCTATTGTTGGCACCAGCCAATTCTCAGCCAAGTGTAAATGAAGTTAATATTCACTGACCTTATGCATAGCCAATGAAGGCCCTTGATGTCATCCTGGAAATAATGTTATCTGACACTTCAAAAAGCAGATGTTGGCAGGTTGTTTGTGGTTTTTTGCTGAGCCAGTACGCAGAGACACATTGTGTAGGCACCTTGCATTTAAACTGATTTCCATAATAACCACAAATAGGCCTTTTTGACCTTAAATTGACATAGTTATGGTTTTAGTTTGCATATCATTATATGCTGCTCACAAAGCATTGCTAACTTGCACTAAGTGGTCAGGGAGAAGTAGCTTGGTTCACTTAGATAAGAAATATATGGGTCAGTGAGCAAAATTTATTTATGCTGATAAAACAGTGAGTAATTAAAATAGTTTAAATAGTTCAAAGCAGACATTTTTAGAGCAAAATGAAGAATAGCATTTTATTTTGCAACCTACCTCCATGAAAGGAAATATATAACAAGTAAAAAAAAAAAAAGAAAAGATACCACTTTCAGAGGTACAGGCAGCTTTTATTTTAAAAGGCCTATTGCAAGGAACCATTAATGTCTTCCTCTGTACCCAGTAATATTTTGTCATGGTGAAACATGTTATTCTAATGTTTTAATTACAGAAAGTTAAATAATTATTACAGGTTCCACTTTGCCAGAATTTTTTCTAAGACAGAAGCGTACTGGTGATATCTGCATATTTGTACAGTGGATTTCATCCAGATAGATCCCCAAGCCTTGTGCAGACTTTTAGAAACAGAACATATCCTCTTGTGTAAAAGCCAGTGTCAAACATATGTTGTAACTCTAGGGTGAAACATTGTGGTTCTTTTTAAAACACAGTGCTATTTCTCAGCAGCCTGTGGTTCTGATTCGACAAAGGTTATAAACATGTACCACACATGGGAGGTGAAAAATATTTGATTTGGTTTATTTTTCTTGTAAATTAGCTGTAATTCTGGCTCTTGTGTGCTTATCTTATGTGAGATGAGCATAATAACATATGGTAATAAAGTGCAGATGCAGGATAAGTAGTCATTAATAAAAAATTTCAGCTGTATCAACCAATGAACTTGGCACAACCATGTTTTTCCCCTCTGTGTACAAAAGGCAGCAGCAGGTAACAAAAATCTAGAAAATTCTCTATTATGACATGGTATTAGTATTAAAAATATGTTTGAATAATGATAGTACAGTTACCACCCTTCAGGCTGTGATGCATTCCTGTCCTTTTGAAAAAGAACTCAAAATATCATGACTTTTTTTTTTTCTTATTTTTTGGTCAAAGAATGAGTTAATCATTGAACAGAGAAAGCTTGATAATCACAGTTGCTTAGGAGGCAATTATCTGACAAGCTGGCAAAGATGAGAAATACCAGAACAGATCTGCATCTAATTGAAATCACTCAAATCTGATCTTAAGATAAACAGTCCTAGTATTTTTGGAAACTGTGTTATTGATTGTGTTCTTCCCATCAGTTATGTTTGTTTGTACCTGTTAGAGAAGTGAACATGTTTCTTGTAGTAACAGATTTCCTTAGAAACTCATCAGCTAGAGATTTCTCGCTATGTCTTTGCTCAGTATTAACTCGCATCAGATGGGATTTAACAAAAAAAAAGAGAGAAATAAATTCACTAGGTTCCTGGATGAAATTTTGAGGAATTAGTGATGGATTTTGTTTGAAGTACAACATTGTATTTCATTAGCTTCTGGTTATTTGTGTGATGTCTGTGACATATGATGGCTCAGTCATATAGTTCAGATGATTAAAAGGCTAATTTTAGTTTAGAACTGATTTTAATGGGCTATCTGATAGGACTAATTTGTCCAGATAGATAAATCAGATTCTCCCTCCATGCCTGCCCCAATCTTATATTCAGTTTATTCTACAATTATTCTGAAAACACATGAAGTTAGCTGAAAATTTCTGAAATACAGAATTACAGCCAGCTACTGAACAGTGTGGAATGAGCAATGAGCCAGAGAGCACTGAAAGCAATGAAGCACCTTAGTGGTCCTTTAACAAGCCCTAAGTCTGCTAAGCAAGCAAATTAATTTGTTTAAGACTTTACAAAGACCCATTTCTTCTATAGGTTATATTGAGTAATAACCAGATTGAGGCACATTTTTGTTTTACTATTCTCCTGTAAAGTGGTTCATTTCTGGCTCAGTTTTGTCTGTCCCTTTGTCAGGCTTTATCCTATGAAAAGTGTAGAATGCCAAAGGAAACATCAAACTGACCCAATTCTGCCCTCTCCTCCCGCAGAAATGGATACTGAACTACAAAAGTTTATTTTCTATTTCTGGTAGGAGACTGTGAAAGAGAAATTTGCCTTTGTGAATTAACCCATGGACAGATTGATTCATTTCATCCTGTTGGTATTGAATATGTTCTTATTTTAGTTGAAAGTTTGCAAAATGCTAGCTTTCCATGGGCAGGCCACTGAAGAAGTGATCCAAAAATAATATAAATTGAAAGTGTTTGGTTTAATGTACTTTTCTATTTGTTTGTGGGTTTTTTTTTTTCCCTTAAACAAAGCAGAACAAAACAAGAAATGCTTTGGAGTAAATGTCAGCAGAAGATTCATTAGGGGATAGGCACACAGGTAGCTGGGAGGTGTGGGGAGGTGGTTGGGGTCTCTCCTGCTGATGGAAGGTACTACCAGCAGTGAGTTTGCTGGTGACATTGGTGCTGTGTCTGGGATTCTGATGGAGGAAACCTGTCAGGGGCTGTGAATACGATGTCCTTGCTTAGAACTAGGTTGTTTTTGCTCTTAATTAATCTCATCTGTAAGAGGCGAGGTCTTCAACAGCAGATTTTTTGGCCATTTCCATTGTTTAGGATAATATACAATTTTCTGGACTCTGGTTCTCTGCAGAAATAGTCTGTATAGATCTGAGTTCATTTGTATTGCGTTGTTAGCATGGCTGTGATTTTCTCTGACAGTTACATCAGCTGGGAAGAGAAGAATGGAATTAGATATGAAAAATTGCTTTGTTCTCCAGAGTTTCTAGAAAACATCTTTGAAGCTCTACTGTGAAGTCTGTAGCGCATCTGCAGATGATTTGTACTAATAAAAAATAGCCAGCAAAACTCTGTTGGAGAAAATAATATTGGAAGAAAAAAACCACAGAAAAATCAATTGTATGAGGAGACAGAATATTTAGTACTGACTCATCTTCCCTAATCAGTAGAAAAATGGATTATATGACTAATAAAGAATCACCTCAAAGAGAACAGTTAAACCATACACCATTTTGTTGAACAGATCAAAAATATTGTAAATAACCTACCAATAATGAAATACATGGTTTTACAACAAACAAAATATGCCATATGGGCGATAAAAGGATCAAATGAATGCCGTAAAGCACCTGCTGTCAGATTGAAGCCTGGGAATATATCCCTGGGGAGAAAGAAGGAGAGGGTAAGTCAGTTATGAGGAGCTGTGGAGGGGTGAGGAGATACAGTCTAAAGATAAGATTTTGGGCAGGGGCTGAGTTTGAGGAGGATGGTGATGATTCTCAGCTTATACTCTATACTTCAGTGTGCCAGGCAGTGGATATGTCAAAAGGTGATGAGCACAAATGGAAGGCAGGAGCTCTCCTTGCTGTGGAAGGCATTTCATCTGACGGCTGGCATAGCACGGCAAAGTGGTGTCTGAATGCTTTGCACAGCATTTGTTATTTGCACATAACCAACGCCTCAGCCAGTGGGGGTGTGCTGGGGAGCTGCTGCCACTAATGTCACAGCACCACACAGCCACCCTTGCTCTGCTCCACCAGTTCTTTACTTAGAGCTCTGCCTTTGTTTTGTAACGTCAATAATGCAAATGTACAAGAATAAAGGTGAGGCCTGACCTTGCCCCTTTGAAATGACTGGAAGATTGTCTTTACCTTCTGTAAGCACTAAGGTCTATTTGATGCCTCTCTTTTGTTTTTTGGGGTTTTTTTAATGGCAACAGTTTTCAAAGTGCCTTTCACACACAGAGAGAAGATAATTTTTTAACAGATGAATTATCTGTTTTAATAGATGAAATATCAATGGTAAATATTGTGGAAATACCTTTCATAAGTAACAAAAAAAAGAAGGGCTCATTTGTAAGCACAGCCATATCCTTACTTAGTGAAGGAGAATAAGGTAACGTTCTTCCTCTTCCTTGCTGCTCCTCTTTCTCCTCAAATGGCAGAGAGTGTGACAAAAATTAGGTTTTTGTATTACCCTTGCAAAAGACCTCACTGTGTTTTATCCATATGGCAAAAGAGACAGGAAAAATGCCACTAAAAAAACCCAAAAAACAAGATGCAATTTTAATTTGTGATCTCAGCCTAAGGTGATCGGGCTCTGTGCTTTTCATTATGCAAGCTGGAATGTCTCTTTTCTCTATGCACCACCAAGTGTGTGCAAAATTGGAAATTAAAGATGAGCCGAGTAAAAGAAGAATGGTTCTGAAGCTGAGAATTATTGTTTGTTTGGGTTTTTTTTAACTTCTTTAGCTTTAGATAGACACACATAGCTCATGTAGCTGAAATACTTGGATCCCCACAATATCAGGGATGTCTGAAATAAAAATTATTCTTTAATCCCTCTGTATACATCTGTTCAGTCTCTGAATGTAATTGGTTCATCTTTTCAAAATATTTTTTACAACTGGAAGAATAAAAAGCCATTTTTTTTCCTCAAGCTAGAGTTTAGGTGGTCATTCAGAAACAATAGCAACAACAAAACCACGTGATTCTTGGCACTGGAATATAAGATTGTTTTAGAATTAAGAAAAAAAAAAAGTAAGAAATTGGCAACTTCATATGCTCAAGCGTGCTTAGATTTTGAAGCCCATTTAAAAACCCTCATTTAAAATAACTGCAAAATTATTTTCTTTTTGTATTTGTTTGGTTTAGGATTCTTTTTCTGTGGTTGTTTTGTTTTGTTTTGTGTTTAATATTCTTTATGATAAACCAGCATATCTTGAAGGACTAAACCAGGGATCTTAATTCATGTCATATACCACTGACAGGACTGCTTAGGAAGTGACAGTCTAATCATAATAAATTTGAGCAGCTTTTACCTGTACATAATCATCATAGGCAAAGTGTCTTCAAGAGTGGGAGAACATTTATTTGTTGCATTGGTGTAAAGGGGGATGTCATTTAACTTGTGGAAACAGTTACCACTGATGAGGAATGGGGAGGAGAGAAACCCCTTGGGGGCTTGGGAAGATCCAAAGTAAAAACTGGGTTTGTATTGCTGATGAATAGCAAAACCATCCTTTTTCTTGCAAACTAAGCATACTTCCTGCAGAATTCACCAAGCAGACCATAAGCATGAATAGTTGTCTCTCTCCCATATGATTGTAGAGGCCCTTGTGGAGTGAAATCTTTGCTACAGTCTGCGTGTGTAAAATACTCTCTACAGCGAAACTGCAGAGGACTTTGAGTACATGAGATCCGGCTCTTTCACAGCCTCTCCCTTGCAGCACATCAGGGAACACGGGACTTACATTCCAATGTCTGCGTAATTAGAGTCTCCCTGTGGGGTAATTTTAGGTTAAAAGTGAGGAAATATCCTTCTACACTGAGCAGCAAAAGGCTTCTAGTCAGGGCACACCTGTTCCTCCGTGCTGAAGAGTGCAGGATAAAACAGGAACTGTTGGTGTAGAACAAAAATATCAAGGATAATCCAGGTTTTAAAGTGGTTTAAACTGAACAGGAGCACGACTTACTCTGTTTGCATGGTTATAATCAGGAACAACTGGATGTGAAGACTGCAGTGAACCTTAGCTTGCAAATCAAATGTTTAACTATGAGTTCCAGTGTCTAGCTTCTTTAACACTGAATGCTAAATGGGGATAAACTACTGGATATGCAATACCAGTCTGGTTATTTCAGAACTGTATTCCTCTGCATTTTTCTACTTTGCATGTGTTTTTTACTTCCACTGAAGTAATGCACAGTTCTCTCAGTATGCACCCATAGAATTTTACAGCCTTGCTGCTGCCCATGTATGTTATGACATCTGCATTCCTGGAATGACCAACTCCTGCTCTGCTGAATTAACTGAAATATCCCATTATTCACTGAGTTTCTTTGCAGCACTGAGAGGTAACACTTAATCCTATGCTAAAAATAAAAGCATGGTAAAGTTATGCTGGACAATAAAATAAGTTTGAATTTGCCTCATGGCATGAAGTGCCTCTTGCCAGCTCTTGTAGTGTTCTCACAAGCTTTATGGCTATTTGCTGCTGTACAGTTTCAGCTCCTGCAGAAATATATTTCAGTTTCTATTCTTGAATTTTTTAAGGGTCAGCTGTCAAGCACTTCTGATGTTTTACAAATGTGTAGTTAAGGATATCAAAAGGAGATAATAAGTGATAAGGGGTAATCAAAAAAGAAAAATAGAAATGCTCATATTTTAAAATCTCCAACGCAAATAAGTAGAGGTGACCCTCCTGCAGTTAACCCTTCTGTATGCATATCATTCATTAGCCAGAGAGTTAAAAATTTTTTGTTCATGTATTTTCCAGTTATGGTCTATTTAAGGCTGTGTGAAAGTCCCAAATAATCTGTTTGCTTCAAAGGAAGAAAGTAATGCCTTCTATGCGGTATTATTTTAGGACTAAGAGAATGCCTTTCTATTTTTGTCACAAAGCTGTTGCCTATGGTGCACCTGAGACTTGAAGGGGGTCATCTCAATGGAGTTAAAAGTGGTTGTTCTTTTATGAATAAAACACCGTGTATTATGTTTGTGCCTGTCTTGTCTGCTTTCACAGGGGCATCTCATTAAGGTCATTAAGAAGTCATTGATACATTTATTCTCACCACAGTGAGCTAATAACATTCAAAGGCATTAGTATCTGGCTACTGTGCATTTGCAAAAAGTTGCAGTGCCAGGTCAGCGCACATCCTGCTTTTCTATGATGAGAAATATTAACATATTAAGTTAAGCCAGAAACAGATATAAAATATTTCTAGTGTCAGCTTTCTGTATTACATTTTACTTTTTTTCATGTTCCTATAGTACTGAGGTAGGTAATTAGCATATCTTATGGATAATTTTACATTGTTATTTTCAATTTGAAACAATGATTAAACATAGTTTGACAAACTTATAAAATGATGTAGTAAAAGGTAATTCTCTAATATGACCAGGAATCTCATGCTCTCCCTTGCTGCCTCAGTAATCACACAGAATTAATAGAATCTCACAGTACGCTGGTAGAAATTAAAAACAAAACAAAATTATGTGTACATCACGGACAAGCAAAATAATTTTCTTCCTATTTGGAAAATGATCTCTTTTAATTTGGCCACTGGAGCAACTATAAGTTCCTAAAAATCATAAGCTTTGTGTGGAAAATACCACTTTCTACAAAATATTCCAATTTATGCATGTTTTTCTGCCACTACATCTTATTTGCATAAGATAGATTCATCCATGTTTCTATGAAAACAAATGGTAAACCTCCTGCTGAATTTATTTATCAAGAATTGCATAAAAACTGGATGCCATTTTCTGTTTAGCTATTCCCACTGGGTTTTCACTGGTGGAAGTTAGAAGGTGTAATTTTGGCCTTGGTGATGTGAATGGTGTGAGTCTTAGTTTAATTGGACCAGGAATTGACCCAAAGTATTCTGCTTATTATCTTATATTAATTTTCATGACAGATAGTTGTGATGTCACAAAGCAGAGACATCGTGGGTAAAACAGACATCTAGAGGAGGTGCATTTCTAAGCCTCACAGACCATGATTTATTTTAAATTACCTGTAAGAGAAAACAAGTGGTGTAAAATCAGTGATGTTTAAAGATGTTTCACACCTTGCTGTCAGAAAGAGTTAATGTTTTTATTGTATAGTGGTGAAAATGAAAAGGAACGTTAAAACTTCTTTCTGATTTTTAGCATAGCTGTAATGAATATGCTACATGCACTGCCTCCTATAGTAAATTTGGATCTGAACAACGTACAGGACACTGAATGATACAGGATCAAGGTTTCTCTTTCTATTTTGATTCCAAAAGTGTTGTCCACTGTCCCAGGAGAAGTGAACTTCATCTGACGTGACTTGACTTTACATCTGCACAGGAGGTTACCCCTTGTAAAAGAGTAGAGTTGTGAATGAAACCTTTGTCTTCAGCTTCCTTGTAATCCTGCAGTACAGTTGAGCATGTTAGCTCAGTTGGAATAATGTGCTGATTTTCTAAAGATGAAAAAGAAAAAAAAAAAATTAAGCCCTTTCCTCATTTTAGGTTCCCACTTCTGTACTCTCTTAAATTTCACACTACCTGCTTTGGTTTTAGCAACTCTGATTTCAGTCTGTCACCTTCCCTGGCTAAATGTAAAAAATGATACGCTCCTCTCCTTGAAGGAGAATATTCAAGAAATGCAATCCCAGTGAGAATGCTGTTTTGTAGCAGCAGGGATTCTTTTTTCCTGTCATTTTATTAATTTGGTCTCTGTTTCAGATCTTTATCAGCACCTGTCCTTTTAAGGAAACAGATTAAAATGTCTGGGGGTAAACAGAGGATTGATTTGGTGTGAATGTACAGCTTCTGTGCTTTTACAATACATGCAGTTATGAACAGGGATACCACAGGCTTTAATGTCCTTAAGGACTCTTAGCTGCTTTCCTTCCTTGCCTTTGTGCATGCTGATTTTAGTTCTCCTTTCACTATATTAGGCATAAATTAAATGTATATTTGAAAATATTTTCCTTTTATTTATAACAAGGAGCATGTTGTATAAAATGCTGGATAATGCCATTAGGGCTGGAGAGGGGCTGTCCTTTACAAAACGGTGGAGATATAGAAGAAAATACTAAAGATACTTGGGTTAATAAAATGATAACAATATTCTGAAATATTACAGAATATATCGCAGTAGCTCAAATATATTGATGACTGTCTAACTGGGTTAGAGATAAAAGCAGTAGACATGCATTTGCTCTGCTTGCTCTCATTTAATTTCATCATAGTGAGTCACATAGGCATCAAGATTTATATGTGTCTGATAAGTAGTCAGGATAGAGAGTGCTAATGATGGTTGTAATGCTTTCTAGAATTCCATTTCTTCTGACTTTGGTTGACATTGTGACTCTAAATACTGCAGATTCTAGTAAGTGGGAGACAGAAGGGGGGACAACCTGCCTCAGAATTCATGCCATATTCATCAATATTTAGTCATCCATAGGTTGATTTTTTAAATTCTCCCCTTCCCCCCATGTCTGGACAGCAGAATGCATAGTGCTTCTCAGGGAATATTTATCAGATTGGAGTGTGCATTTATTGGAAGAAATTCAGGGAAAATAAGCCATAAACCATGCTGAGGGTTTTTTGGTTTGGTGTTTTTTTGTGGATTTCTTTTTTTTGGTGTGTGGTTTTTTTTTTTTTTTTTTTTTTTTTTTTTCTTTTGCAAGGAACTTATTTGTCCTTCAATTCATAGAAAATCTTCTTCAGTGCAGAATAGAGAGACTTGGCTGAGTTTTACTGGTTCACATGGGACAACTGTCTCTAGCACAATCTGTTTCTGCTGATGGCCCTAGCACTGACATGACAGATGCTTGGAAAGCTGCTGTCCCTACTGCCGCTGCTGTTGACACCATTGCAAATTCTTAAAGGAAAGTGGCAAGGAGTCTTACTCTAGTTGAAAAAGAAGACCCACAGTTAAAAATAAGGTAGCCTTTTACAGCCTGATCCTGTGGGGTCTCTCGCTGTCAAGTGCTTTTGGATGGTTTTAACTCCAGGTGGTGGGTTGAAGGTCTTCACCTCTTTAAATGACTGTGGTATTAATAGGAGAATTTAGAATATCGTAAGGTGTTTGCACATCTCTTACTGTCTTCATTTATATGACTTAGGTGTTTGCTGCTGTTGTAGCAGTGGTCCTTAGAGGAGCTACTTTTCCAGGACATGAACAAAGAGAGGAGTTACAGTATTGCAGCTAGAAAGAACATGGGAAAAGATAGCTATGGGCAATTTCCACAGCTCTTATTAAGTAGCAAGAGCAAGTATAGCAGAGAAAATCAATAAAAACTCCTTGTCTACCTTCTTACCTCCACAGCTGTTTCCTGAAACCCACAAGAAAAAAAGATGCAGGAATAAAGCATTTATCTTCAATGTGCCTGTCTGTTAGGTACATCCTATGGCTGACAGCAAGGCTCTTTTCCACTTTATCATTTCATGCTTGTTTTGGTGAAGAAGAGAGTCAGTTATTCTATTTAATGGTATCAGCTGTTAGAAAGTACTCCCTATTCTAGTGATATTTTCCATTGAGCAGTTTAAATTCTTCTGAAATGGCACAGATTTTACTGAAGTCTGTTGTTGCTGTTTAGTGTGTTTCAGCCAGACCCAAGAAGAAGAATCAATTGTTTCTAGGGTGCTCCTCTACATGTACTTAATGGCAATATATGCCTTCTTTGCTCCTATTTTTCATTAATTAACCAGAGAAGATAGAGAAGTTGAGCTGGGTCTGCTAGCAAAATTGTAAAGTGCCAGTGTGGGGAATGGATCCGAAACACAAATTTTGACTTAGTAGTCTTGTTACTGATTATCCTTTTACATACTTTTCTCCTATGATGATGGCTTAGCTTAGCGTGAAAAACTGGACAAATACCTATTGTAGGTAACAGAGAAGTAGGAATGAAATCTCGAAATAAAACCAAGTGAGGGTTTGTTCCACTTCTACTTTGTACTTCTGTTTAAAACAGAATAGAGGCCATAAACTTTAAATTTTCAGGCTGTACTCCAGCTTATCATGACTAAGGAAGTTTGAAACAGAACAGGGTAACCGTCTTTCTGAAGCTCTTAATATGAAATCTAGCTTAATGGCTATTACCACAAAGAGAAGGGTACAAAAATGTACATTAGACTTAGAGGTACTTGAATAAAATAATTTTGAAGAAAAAACAATATTTTGCATTTTGCTCTACTGAAACCAACTGGAACAATGGCTAAAACAATGAATAAATGTCTGATTTTAAGCACTTTTCATGATGTGACATAAGAACATTGTGCATATATTGTTGTTCACTTGGTCACTTCAGAATGAGGACCTATGAAGACAGACTCAGTGAAAAAGTATGTTAAGTTCCCTAATGAGGGAATAGGAATTCAGAACTGACAGACAGGTTTGACGTACACAGTGTCAGGAATTCGAGCGGAAGAAGACAAGGCAATAATATGTCAACATGCCTGGAAGAATAGTGTACATGTTCTCTGAAATAAAAATGACAAACTAGAACAGCTGAGTTGCCATGATGATGAGTTACCAGGCTCATCTTTTGGGTAACGTATCTGTTGCCCAGAGAAGGTGTGGATTCCCCATCCCTGGAAGTGTTCAAGACCAGGCTGGATGGGGCCCTGAGCAACATAGTCAAGTGGAAGGTGTCCTACCCATGGCGGGGGGTAGGGATGGGAGTTTGGAACTAGATGATCTTAAGGTACCTTCCAACCCAAACTATTCTATGATTCCATTATTCTTTCAAGAAATAGGTACTTCAAGGGAATATGTGCCCAAGTTCATTGAAATGTAAAATAATTTTATTTAAATAAATTGAGAATAGAGAAAATGACTGCAGCTTTAAAATGCTTTTGATGCAAAAAGAAAATTAAGGAGATAATGCAGATGTATGGATTGCCAAATATTATGTTATTCTTTTATACAGAAAAATTGCCTTTTCCCACTCTACTGACATATTTAAGCATAGCTACAAGCTTAATAAAGTAAACCTAAGCCCTGCACAATTAAGGTAACTCTACAGAAAATTAGGAACTAAAAAGAGCAGAAGTTTGCTTTGCCTGTTTGACCTTCATGAGAACAGCAGTACTATCAATCTTTTAAGTTTAACAGGAGTGGTATAAAATTTGAGGAGGAGGCATAAATTTCGCTGCATATGCAAAAAGCTTCATGTAAATGGGCTATATACCTGTCAAATCTTTAGCTGGACAATATAGACTGAGATAATACCACAAGTCAATCTCTTCCTCAAGTTTTGTGTTATTGGATTTGATTTACTCGTAAAACTACATAAATCCCAGCTAATCTTTGTGAATTTTGTGTCTGTCTGAGGTTTTGCTTTGTTCCCTGTTCTCTTCTGACTTTCTCATCTGAAAGAGCTGCTTTATGTGGAAACTACTCATCTACCAGTATGACTTTGGATTTGTTGTCTTCATTTATAAGACTGGTATTTTTTCTGGATTTTTTTTGGGGGGGGGCTTTGTTTATTTGGATTTTTTTAAGCAGGTCAGTGCACACAAATTCTTGTATTTCTATGTAAAATTTTAAGTCTGCCAACCTGATAGAAATACTACAAAGAAAAAAAGGAGTATTTTATTTTGATATGCCAGTGGACATAAATAAAAGTGCTATGTGCTTATGCAGTGTCAGGAAGAATTTATATTAATTTTTAGAACAATTACTATACGATTGATTAGACTGTGAGCCTTGCTGCCAAAGGATGTTGTAGAAACATAATCACGGAAAAGGTCAAATATCTGTATTTCTAAACTGTACAGCAGAAACCCTTAGTTCTGCAGACCAGTTGTGGCTGGTGGAAAATTTTATAGCAGCTTCACTACAAACACAAAGCAGGTGCTGTAAGTGAATGCAGTTTAAAAAAAAAAAAAAGAGAAGAAAAAAAAAGCAATCAGTAGATCAACCCTAGCAATACCTATTTTCACATTAAATTCCATTTCTTTTTCACAAGCTTCTATTATCAGACTTTGATGAAACAGGTTTTTTTTGACTGCTAATCCACAATACGTGCTATGTTCAGGACTGAAGGAGGATGAGTGAAAATCCAGCACAAAGTAGGGGCTGTTTGAAATCCCTGGTACTACTGGAAAAATGTAAGTGCAGAGCACAGATTGGCAGATATATTGGCTTAAGTCCATCCAAAGGTTCTTGGGAATGTTGCTGGTTGAAAACCAGTATTCCTGCAGTGCTGATATACATTTGGGCTCCTTCTTGCAAATTTGTCCAGTAAAGTCACTCTTAACATCAAATGTGTTTACACATAGTTAAAATCTCTCACTGCATTTAAAACAGATTCCAGTCAGCTTTGCATTCCTTTTGCATCTTACAACTCCTTATTCTGAATGACATTTTGTCTTTACAAAATTCTCAGTAATTATAACATGTCTTAAAAGCTACAACTTAAATGCAGACTAGAGTTTCAAGCACTTATAGGACATGGAAACCAAAAGAGCACAAAAGTGCACAGAGGTGCTTTATTAATTGAACATGAGCATTAGTCACTAGGCAAAGGGGTTGGCACACTTTGTAGTGCAGGAAGTAGCATGTTTTCAGGGTTTCCCAGATCCCTCAGAAAAGGCCATAATTAATAATTGTAGCTTTATACATATATTGGCAAAAAGCCTAATAAACGGCTTCTGCATCTGCTATTTCAGTGATGCCATAGGTTAGTTTGTACCAAAGAAAGAAGAACGATGAGACATGTAAAGAGAAATCGAGGGTTTTTTTAATTTCTCTTCATAACAAAAAGTTATGAAGAGAATACATATACATACTTGATAAAGAATACATACTTGATAAAGACTTTAACCGTGCAACTTTCAGCAGTCACTAATAACTGAGTATGTTTACTTGCTCTTTGGCTCACCCAAACTATTTGCTACTGATACCATTCATCTTTGGCTGAATGATAGGCCAGTAGAAAGGGTTGTATCACTGAAATACAAATGATTGTGAAGCTTGCATGTGTGTACACACATGCCTACAAATTAAGATTGTTCAGATATGTGTCCTAGCTGTACTGCTGCTGTAGTGCAGGAAATTGCCAGCTAGCATTTGTATGCATAGCAAATTAGTTTTCATCGCCATCCACATAAATGTCATAATATCCTAATACAGTCATAAACAACTTGACTGCGCCAGTATTTTGTATTTAGAGTACTAGTTACAGTACACCAGTTCTTTGCTCAAAAGCTCAAATATGCCAACTTCAGCTTGATATCTCCTTCCCTGTAGGCATACGTTACTCATTTCAGTTCAGTCACCAAGATTTTGTGTGACAAGCTACAAAAAGGTCTACAATGCTATGTGTATGGATCTAGGTGGATCCAGCAACTATTAAAGAATTTTGGACAATCTGCCGTTCTAAATTCTCATTGCTCTCCAGCCTCATAGGAGGCTAGATGCATATGAAAACAGGAGATATTTTATGAGGCTATGAAGCTGGGTGCCATTTGAGGATTACTGGTAATTCTTATGACTGTATACTGTATGTTGGCATACCAGGACAGGTAAGAGAAGAATTTATTTGAAGCTGTCGCCTGGAGAGCGGTTCCACTGACCATTTGCAAGAGGCTTGGGTTTGGTTTGTAAACCTTTGTTTGTCTGGTCTTGTTTGAGGTGGGGTATAGTGTGCAGTATGTAGGTTGACAGACGTAATACAGGAGACACAGAAGACTTGTATTCTTTTGGACCATTAGCTTGAGGACCTGGCAGGATAGCCTTTGGCAACTGGGCACTGAGTCCTGGGTCTCCATTGAGCTGCACATTACATGTGTAAGTACTAACTGAAATTTAGGTGTTGTAAAATCTTGGGAGAAATCACATCCCAAATGTTTAATCTGTGGCCTGTTGTCAGCTGGGCAGTAGAGATCAAGGGACAACTTCTCTAAAAATATTCACGTTCTATCACATTGCTGCAGTTTCTGTTGATCTTTTCCTCCCAACAACTCTTTTTTTCCTGCAGAAGCCCTCAGGGCAGACTCAGGATACTCAGGTCCCAATCTGACTTTGTATTTAAATCCAGTGTCAGAATTGGCCAACATTTTTCCTTTGTGTAGCTTTCCTGTCACTGTCTCAGAGGAGACCCATTTGAGATCAGTGGGTCTGCTGGACTGGTGTGCTTGCTGGTGATAAGGAGGTGGGTTGTGTAATGGAAACGTGTCTGGCTGTGTGATTAGAAAAAGTTGGGAAGGGGAGGAACTGAGAACTCTGCATGAGGACTGCATACCTCTTTTGTTTCCCCTCCCTCAGCCCTTTTCCTTGGTTTCTGTGGACCTCTATAGCCATTCTAGTCTCTGAATTTGTTCCATCTTTGTTATTCCTATTAAATTAACTTCAGTTAAAGTTTACTTGTATCTTTAATCATTCAGAAAAAAATTTAAATATTTAATGCAGAAAATTGCAAGACTGGGGAAGAAGGAGAGCAATACTAGGGAGTCAGTATGCTTTAGGGTAACGTAGCAGAAATGAAGATGGAAATGCATTAGAGGCCATGGAGATACCAGGGAATGCTTTTCATCAGTGACAGTATCTGCTGTCCCCTGTGCCATTGCCATGACTTTCACACCTTTGTGGTATATGTTTTATTTCTTACTTGGCAGTCTATCCTTTTGAGAATGAATAAGTGATTTTGAATAGAACTGCCTAATTAAAAGCCCTAAATTCCACCTCAAGTGGAAAACTGAGTTTTGCCATGGTCTGCGAGGGCATTTTTGTAACATGGACTGTTTCTTCTGGGAGCTGTAAACGTGTTAGGTGAGGATGAACTGGACCTCCTTGCCTGTTATTGAACTTTATAAAAATTTGCTTTTCCTCCCCCCTCATTTATGTAAATCAGCTTTTGTTTTCTTTTTCTGTTTTCTTTCTGTTTGTGACTATAACAACTTACTTTCTTCATTGTTTTTCTTTCAGTGTCTTGCTCTTTTTTCAACGAATTGTAGTTTCTTGAGCACTGAGGAACCAACACCTAGAAATTTGCCTTTCTAACAAACTACACAGAGATGTTTGAAGAATTACTTGTACAAAAAAATCATTTGAGATACAAATTGTTCAGAATTAGGATGCTGAGTTGCTTCTACATATGTTAGATATTTTAAGTAGTGTTTTGTCAATCAAACCAACAACGAAAGCTTCTCTAAATAAAGAATTCATGTTTTCCCCTCATGATGGTGTCACTAGCAAGGAGAATGCAACAATAGGAGTGAACCTAGAGCAAAACAGTTTGTCCCAAGGACTTGGTATTCACACTAAATAAATTTCCGGAAGGTGTTATTTGTGGTAGGTCTAGTCTGATCCAACTGTAGTTGAAACACGTAAGTTTCACTCTTGGAGCACATCTTCTGGTTAATTTCTTCTGAAAACAATCCTGTTCTCTTACTCTGAGATTATGTGGTGGGAACCAAAACACAGTAAACATGGATGACTAGGAAATCCCTTCAAAAGTGCACTCTGCATCCAGACAAAATGTAAATGTGGATGCATTAGTGTTATATTGGCCTTCTTTCTATTCCATTTTGGTTTTCACAAGTTGAAACTCAAGACATAAATATAAAAAATTATAATAACAAAATCCCAAAAATAGAAATTCTGTGTTTCCAAACCCTTAAAAGTTTTTGTAAGTGTTTTAGAATATTGGTATCCTTCAAAATGTAACTGACAGCTGGGCAGATTCAATGGAGATTGTTCATGTGTCTCTACTGCAGTCTTTGCTATGAAATACCAGTGGTCTCAGTGGACCTTTGATCTTCCTTGTTTGCCTTGTCTTTATTGCCTAATTCAGGTCATCCATTGTCCAAGACACCTATTACTTCAGTGAGTTTGGTTCAAGCCCTCAGGGTCCGTAATTACTCGGCTGACTAATGCCAGTAAGTTTTTGGAAATTTGCAGAGAACTATGATTGCACGGTTCCAGAGAACCTGGGCCTTGCATGTACACAGAGCAGTTCTCTTAGGGGTTTTAAAGGATTAAATGTAATAGTAGTGTACACTGAAACAGAAGGTGTGATAATCTTAGTAAGCTTGCTTACTGGGCAGAAGCAGCTTGGAAGTGCACAGCATTTTCAGTGAAAAAAATCTTTTGTCAGATAAATATCCTCTTGTCTTCTTTAACAAAAATAAAGTTCATGTTTTGAGATTGCATCATGCTGCTTTCATAAAGCTTCCTTGGATATCTAACTCCTTTGTTTTGCAGTGGTGTTTAATCACTTGCAATATCATACACTCTTCAGCCATGCACATTATCCCTTAATTATATACGACTAAGCCCCTCTTGACTGTAAGACATGTTGTTTGTTCAAACGCACTTACAAATCCATTTTCTTATCAGTTCTTTGCTGAACATTTACACAACGGGGTACTGTTTAAATATGAAAATAAACCTTTTATAAAAAAATTGTTTGACCCACCCACCTGGCCTCCATCTGTGATTGTTCTGTCTCTCCAATCTGTTGTCTGCTTTTCCTCAGCGTGTTCTTTATCTTTTTGGATGGCTGCTATCTTTGAGTGACTTTATTGCTCCTCCCTATTTTCTCTGTGCTTAGTAGAAAGTGACATTTTCAAATCATAAGGATCAGCCAGGCAGATTTGATACGCTCTCTGCTATAAGACACACTTCTGTTCAGAGTATGCAATTAGTAAAGACAACTTCATTTCACAGTATCACAACTCATGCTGTACTATTTGGAATTAAAGCATTGTGTGAATCCAAGGAGTTTTATCATAAAAACTGGTACAGATAAATCTGTCAGAATTAGCAATGCTTTTCTTACCACATGCTTACTGAAACCCAGAAGTTTCTTCATGTTTTGTTCCAGTTCAGTTTCATGTCAGTGAATTACTATAGTAATACTTTTCCTTT